CCATCCATTCATCCATGTATCTGTGACATACTTGGTTTGCTGTATGATTAAGTAAAAAATTAGATTTGAAAGACCAAAGATAGCAGTTTCACTGTAATACAAACACTGATACATCAATTGTTTAACAATGGAGGCCCAAATATGGGGGTAACATAGCAGTAGAGTTGCTGTAATGAGATCACAAGATCTTGGGGATGAAACATCTTAAATTCCTCCAGCCTATGTACAGAGAGATATCAAGTGGTATCAAACAACAGAGAGAAAGTATAGTGCAATGAAAGCCACAAGACACTCAATTATCTAAGCAAAACAAATTAGGAAGATTTTTGTCATCAGCTGATAGTACCATCCACAATTAATCTAGAATGATTTTTACAATTTCTTATGTGCATTTCAGAATCACCTAAACCTTGCAACATTTTAATCATTTCCATTTTACATATGAAGGAATGCAGGCCAAGCAAGATTAATTTGCTTGTATCATGTCAGGTAAACAAAAGTTACTACCTTTGGGTTCCAACCTAGGTTGGTTGATTCAAGACCTTTCTAAAGGTGGATGAGAATAATATCATCGTACTTCCTTGGCACAAAAATTTATTGTGTTCTTAGTTCATTTATCAAGTAAGAGTGTTTCAGTATTGACTGTGGTCAGGGAAATTCTTTTTAACAATAATGCCTGGCAACTTTTACTTATTTACAGTACCTATTTCTGGTCCCTCGGATTCCTTTGGGTGAGTCTATACACACCCTCTCATTTTAGATATTTGTGGCATAGTTGTTGATGCCTCTAAAGGACCCACTGCTTAATGCCTGATATCGGAGATTGGTCAGCTCTTCTCATCCCTCAAATGTGGCTGCATTTCTGCGATGGACATCCATCCCTCTGGAATATTATGGGATGCAGGCCCACAATTACCTTGCTCATCTTTATCTGGACATTCATTAGGTCCATGTCACTCCCATATTTGGGCCTCCATTATTAAACAATTGATATATCAGTGTTTGTATTATTATGAAACTAATTTCAAATCTTTCAAACCTAAGTTTTTACTTAATCATAGAGCAAACTAAGGTAGTATATCCTAGATAGATAGAGAAAGAGAGAGAGAGAGATAAATAGGTAGATAAGGTATAAAATATTAGACTTTAAATGTAGATTTTTTTTTTTTTTGGTACTGGAAATCAAACTCAGCACCTCTCACTTGTCAGCAGACATTCACCCCACTTAGCTAAACCCCCGGCCCTAAGTGTATATGCATTGTACAAGATCATTTTGACCTGCAGAAGCTCTCATTAGCAACCATAAATCTGTACCTTTCCTGCCACCTCACAGAAGAGTGTCTTGCTCAAGACTCACAACTGCGGTGCCGTGGTCAACTCATCCTGCTTACTCACCAAGGCCTTCTGTTAGGGTAGCAACTGGGTGAGTAGTGCTTGGTAATCCAAGAAAAGATAAATTACAGCTACAAGCAAGTGTAACATTCCAGTCTATGCTATACAAATTCAATACAAGATCACAAGTACACAGATTTCTCTTCTTACATTTACAAAATGAATTCCTACCCCTTGCACGTAGCAAATGCAAGGTTAATTTAGTTCAAAGGTAAGCCTTAACAAACATGTCGGAACATATGCTTAAAGCCATAATTGATATTTATTGTGAAGTTATGAATTAAAAGGCTTAATTTAGCTCCATGAAATTGCTATATTCTTCCCTAATGAAAAACATCAAACAAAATAAACAGAGGGGCAAAGTAGAAATAAAAGTTAGCTTAATATGCTGAATTTAAATCACTTAAAGTAGATGATTCTAAAAATTACCCAATTTTCTGTTACAAAGAGTCAGAATTGAAACTGGTTAATTCTTTGATGTTTTAAAAATGAATTAATTAGCATATTGATTTGGAATTGTTTTGAAAATCTATGTTCTCTGGGATGACATGGCTTGAGTCTGGAGTGTCGCTGTGAGCCACACTCCCTAACGCCACACTGCTCAGAGCGGGCAGGTGACTGGCCCGTGAACACTCTAACCTTGTCACTGAGTTCATGCATTTATGTGTTCATGGCCCAGTGGGCTGTTAGCAGTATGAGAAGGCGCCTATTTGGAGGACATGGGTCATGGCAAGCCTGCTTTTGAAGGCTGTGTTTTGCCCCTAGCTATTTCTCTCCCTCTCCCTCCTCCTCCTCACCTTTGTCTCTGTCTTTCATTCTTGGACATCATGACGTGTACACTTTTGCTAACCCACAAGGTCCTGCCATGATATGTCTCTCATTACAGACACCTTCAGAAAAATCGGAACCAAGAGGCCATGGTTTCAAACTTCTGAAACCATGAGCAAAAACACCATTCTTCACTGAAATTGTTTCTCTAAGGCGTTTTCTCACAGAGATAGAAAGCTGAGTGAGGCACAGGCATTGATATCCTTGGCTTTCTGTATTAGAGTCGATGAGTAATCATGTGGGTACGACTCACACAGCTTCCTAGCACTTCCGCTCTCCTAAGACCTTGCAGCACACTGTTACATGTTGATGTGAAATCTCCCCTCAAAAGGTTTCTGTGTTCAGAGGTGGAACTTTGATGCATGAGTGTGCTGACCACACCAGTGGGTTAACCCCCGAAGAGTTCATTGGCTGAAGGAGCTGTCAGAGGAAGTTCTCCTTGTAGGAGGGTGACAGAAAGATGCATTTTTCTCTGTCCTGCTTTTCCTCTGCTTCCTAGCTGCCATGATAGGAGCAGCTTTCTTCTTCCATGTCCTGCCACTATGATGAATCTGCCTGGGGACCAACCATATGACCATGGACCTCTGAAACTTTCCTCTTTGAAATTATTTATGTTAGATATTTTGTCCCAGTGGTGGAAAACTGACTAATATATATGCCATATGAGCATTTTGAAAATGGAGAGAGAGAGAGAGAGAGAGAGAGAGAGAGAGAGAACAAGAGAATAAGATATTATCTGCCTTCCATTACCACCAGATTTTTTATCTTTGCACAAAGCACTCTGGCTTTAGTATAATGAATATTTGCAGGTTGAGATATTTTCTGGTTTGTTTGTAAGCATTAATATTCATACTATTATAATATTACTTTAGTGGTATTACATCTTTTCTTATCAGAGTTCAAAATGCTTTAATATCACATTCAGTTATTAAGTATTCATCCTTTAAACCGTAATGGATAGGGAATGTGGCAATCAGAACATAATGTTTATCTCACACATGAAAAGTTATAATGTATCATACATACATATATTAGTACTGAAATATTTGACAACAAGTATCAAACACTGTTCTACCTAGAATGTACATAAGAAATGAAGAAGAAAAGCTAATCTATTTCTTCATATCAAATAACTTTGGGAAAAAATAATTCACTGCCTATGATATTCAAATCAATGTCAAATAGCTAAATCCCCACTCTCTTTCTGAGCTTATGTTCACTTTTTCTAAATATATTTGGTCTACTTTAAAATGGATTCAGGTAACTAATTTCCAGACTAGACTTTGAGAATTTTATTTTCAAACCTCAGCCAAATTTACTGTTTTATTATGGAAAACTCGGTAGCTTAATAAACGCACTCTACAGCTCAATGCTCAAAGTCTTTGACAGCAGGAGTTTAAGAGAGCCTGGTCCAAAATGCAAACGGTACCATCTGCATCGCAACATCCACTCCAGAAACAGTATGATTAAATTAATAGCAATGTCTGTAAGATAAAAAGGCAGAGACCTCAATCATGTGGAACCCATTGGGCGTCTGTTGAAACTCCAGCAAGTAGAAACACACAGCCAGTTCAGTTATGGTTCCCTTGCTCCATTCCTGCCCAAAAGTAGAGCTGTTTCCGATTTCCCTGACCAAAGGAATTAAGAACCAAAAAAGGAAAGGGAACGATAAGAAGGCATTAGCTCCCGGAGTACAAATATAAATAGGCTTCACTCTAGTGAGCTTTAATGTCCTGATTGTGTAAGGTCTGGCTGACCAATCTGGAGCAAATTCAAGCCTTTGGATTAAAGACGGAATATCGGAGAATGAGTTCAGCTCTTCACAAACAAGAAAAACATGAAATATATTTTAAAAACAGGGCACCGTAATACAGAAGCACTTGAAAATTTAATTTAGAATTAGCTACAACTTTCATTATTTGAAGCTTTATTCTACAGCTGTGATATTTACTACAGGTAATGTTGCATTACTGCAATTTTTACATGACAAATGTTGAACATCATTTAATTTTTATCTAGCAAAAGTCTCTCATTTTCTCTTTGTAGCACAGATATAGGTTGATTTTGAGATTTTAATTTTTGCCCTGGGCCATCTAAATAATTGACTACTGGAAACCTGAGCACACTTCAGAATGTGTCCTTTCAGATGACACTGGCCTCCCGTAGGTTCTTTAAAGTTTTATGACTACAGAGGTCACTGCAGAAAGTGATGGCTGTCGGGCCCACAAGGCCAAGCCTGGCCATTATTAAAATGCTTCTGCTGCAAGATTGCAGGCCTGGATTCTGCGCAGTTGGAAGGGATATTAATCATCACACTGTCCCTGTTCTTCCAGCCTGGAGGCTGCGGCCAAAGCCGAGGGGCGGAGACATTCCACAGTGAGGTGATACTGTGACCCGCTCTTGTGCACTGAGATTATAAACGAGTCCCAGGGCACAGAAACTGGGGCTGAAAAAGCTGAACTGTGGTTTCCTACAGTAGTTTATTTCAAAAAGGAAACATTTGCATCACCAGTCAAAAATATCTCTGTGGTGCTATTTATTGAGAAAAACTAATTGTAAATGAAGACTGTCACCCATTTCAAAGTTACTTTGATTTCAGTCACTGAAAATTACTTATACCTGAATTTAACTGAGGAGTAATAGTACTAAATAAGGTTATTTGAATTTAGATAATGCCAAAAGCTCACAAGAATCAAAAGCAATTTGACAATAAATTTTCTTTCCTGTCTATGAAACTTATATCATAATAAATAAAAATAAACATAAAGTTAAACATTTACCTTTACTTTGTATTTTCCTTTCAGGTTTTTCTAGTTTTTCAGTCTTTTCTTTGGGTATTTCTAAGGAAAAATAAAATACAGAATTTAAAACCTTCTTGTAAAACTATAAAATTTAAACTATACCTATGACCTAAATGCTATAATCCTATCAACTATAAAATTTTATATCTAACAAGCATGTCTGTGTATAAAAGGAAAGAGTCTTCATAATATAGTTCTCCATAAAATCACTTATGTATTAAAATAAGGGAAAAACTGAAAACACCTGAGGATCAGTTACTTGAAAAAATTTAAAAATTTACATTGACAGAGCCATGCTGTCACCATTTTCTATGCTAAAACTGATCCACAAACTATAATTATGTTTTATTTCAATTACTCTCAATAAAAATTAAGAATCTCTAATAAGAATGCCATTTAGATTTATGAAGATTAAGTTCTTACATATTAAATTAAGAATTTGTGAAATGAACTGCAACCACTATCTAATAAGAAATACATCTCAGAAGAATTGACTCAAAGCTATGTTTATAATCAGTAGTTAGCACTGCATTTAACCAATAATTGTTTCAAACAGATATGCTACATGTGATTAAGTCAGTTGTACATTTTTTCCAGATATCAGGTTTTAACAAATATATTCAATTTTCTGCTTGCTTTAGTACACATATATTACCAAGTCTTAGAAAATGAAGTTAATTTTAAATTTACAGTTAATTTGTATAGAAGTGAATTTGAGATTAAAGTTTACAAATATGATTACTACCTCTGAAAAGTGACTTAATGTTAAACATCATGGTTTCTCTTAGAAAAATGCTAATGAGGTTTACTTATTTATTTATCACAACTTTATTCCACAGATGGTCTGAGATGATACTAATTACTGTACACATTTTAAAATCTCCACTCATAAATTTGCATTTGCATTTTTGTAACTTTTCCAGAAGTCTACTAAATCAAGACCAATTACAGGAAAACTCTCACTATCTTCAAAAAAGACAGATGCTGACTTTTATTTTCCTGCTAAGGAGGCAGCCAAAACCGTGAAGATTTTGTTTCCTCATGTTGCCATTATTCAGTCCATTCACGGTCATTCCTTTACCCTGGTCCCATCCCAGATTGAACGTGGTCAGAAAGAAATAGATGAGGTGAGGCACTCAGCACAACTCTAAGTAAGTCCTCCAAGGTCCTAGTATAGATCTCCAAAGGGCATGGACGCTCCTGTCTTCCACCTCTCACACTATGTCATTTAGCACTTTCATTAATACCTACAAATTCAACTCAGAATAGTGTTTCTCTCATTGGTGCTGTGGTCCTTTTGGCTTAGATGAGTCACCATTTGTGGGTGGGGCGCCCTTCCTCTGTGCATTCTAGGGTATTGAGCTGCAATTCCCACACCTGCGAGACCCCAGGAATCCCTGTAACCACTCTTCAGGCATGGCAGTGGCTTCAAACATTGCCAAGATCCCCTGCAGAACGAAAGTATTCCTAGTTGAGATTCACATCCTAAAACTGGACCATGTCCAGCCCGATAACCTGGAACCCCTTTGCCACTGCCTAGCCTGGTACCATCCAGCGGGTGGGCCACTGCTCACTATGCATTTGAAGCACATGCCCTGTGGCTATTCCAAATTGATGTGTACTATATGTCTAGAGAGCACACAAGAGCATGAAGATTTAGTATTCAAAAGTAACATGAGTCATCATAAATTGTAATTAGTAACAGTTAAATTGTATTTCTTGGATATATTGAGTGTGGTGGTTTTACTGCTGGGGTCAACTTGGCTGGGCTAACAGTCTAACTTGCTCAAAGGAGCACCAATCCAGCAGTTACTTACTCTTCAGACATAATAAAAGTTGCCAGTTATCTTTCTAGAAGAAGGTGATTCTTGATGATTGGGTAGATCTGTTTGGTCCCCTGAGAGAGCCTTAACAATAAGCCTAAGTCTTCCCGGAACAAGAGAGGAAATTCCTTCCCGGGTCAGAAAGCTTCGGTCTGTGTCTTGGAGTCTGCCATCATCTTCCCTTCCCGACTGCCGTCAGGTGGGTTCAGACATGCTTTGACGGTCCCCACAGTCACACAGACAAACTCCCGGCAATCAAGCTAGATTGTTGTTGTTTTGTTTTTGCTGCTGTTGTTTTGGTTTGGTTTGGGTTTTCTGGCTACTGGATATTAAACCCAAGGCCTTCCCACTGAGAGATGTCCCAATCTGCTGCTTACTGTTACTCTGAGACAGTTAATTGTTAAATTGTAAAGCAGTGTGGCTTGGGTTCCAAACTGTGATTTTTAGCATTAAAATGATCTTCTTTTGTCTCCTTTGGTTGTACCTTTTCATTTGAACTTATACTGACATACTGGATTAAATATTATTAAAATTAATTTGTGTTTTCCGTTTTACTCTTTTAATGTGTCTCCTAGTAAACGTTGTTATATATGAGGATCACAATTACAACTAGACAATGCTAGTGTAGTCCTAAGGGGAACAAATACCCACTTTAAGATTCTGGGCAATTGCAAGGTTAAATTTTTCATAGATGAACTAAAAGGACAGACTTGAACTTGTCTCTCACCAACAACTTTCTGCTTCCTCCTTTCTATCCAAACCAACATGAACTCCACACAAGTTTGGAGCCTTGTATAACTCAGGGCCAGGAGGGTGGTAAAACGCCAAAGATTCACGTTAGCCTTTGCATATGCTAACACAGTAGCCTTGAAGAAATCGTTTCTTACTCCTAGTCAGCAAGAATTTGAATATGGTGCTGAGATAAAATTTTCATTAAAATTTCAATAAAACAGTAAAAAATTACATGAAATGCCACATTCCCCATGGTATGAGGTCTTAAGATTGATGTATAAAATAACACGTTATCTCTTAGAAGCAGGTGTATGCACATGCGAACATGTGTGTATCCCACAGACAACCGATGGCCATTCAAAAGAACAAAGAAAGAATCCTGGAAATCACATGGGAGGATCAGTTGTGACTGAGACTCTTCCACAGGATTCGGTGCTGGAAGCCATCTACGTGAATGTGTCAGAGCCCCTTAGACTGTCGGGCTAACGTAGACTGGGGGGATTTAGGCGGGATGATGGTGTGTGAGAGACCAGTCTACAGTCCCCGTGGGTCTACCCTTGAGTTCCCTGGAAGATGGGCAACTCGTGCATCAGAGAACAGATGACAGAGCAGGTGCCTGAACTACTTTAGCATCTCTACTCCTGTTCACCAAGCCATATCTTGTTAAAAGGACTGCGGGCCAAATTGCAACAGACATGGAATGAGTGGAGCGTCCATCCCACAGGGAAGATAAAGAAGATACGGCTCAGAAAGCCTGAGATCTAGAACACAGAGCAGGACTTAGCCCTGTCACTGAGTGTTACTCTGCATCCCAGACTTTCTGAGACAGACAAGAAGCTGATCAATGGATGAACGGATAAAGAAAATGTGTTACATTTACACTGTGAACTATTATGCAGCTGTGAAGAGAATGAAGTCCAACCATTTTCAGCAAATGCATGGACCTAGAGGACCCTGTTAAATGAAATCAGCCACGATCCAGAAAGACAGTAATACATATTCTCTGCCACACATGGAAACTAAGAGATGTCAACCTGAACAGTAGAATAGACATTGCCAGAGTTTGGGAAAGGGGGGAGGGGGTGGAAAAAGAGTGATTGGGCATGATCCATGCATGCTTGTACGTGTATGAAAATATCTCAGTGGACTCCATTAACATGCACAATTAATCTGTGTTAATAAGTTTTTTTAAAGTTACTATGAGAATCAAGAAATGGAAGGAAGAAGAGAAAGACAGAATAAAAGAAAGGAGTTACATTGCATGTTTTACACGAACCCACTGGACACAAGGAACATAAACATATGTGCTACAAATATATTCCACAAAAGAAACTCAGCAGAGGGGTGGAGGGGCAGGCAGGGAAGGGAAAAGGAACAAGGATTTAAAAAGGAATTATAGTGTGTTGTGTACATGTGCTAACCCCACAAGGAATGTAAGCCTTATGTATATGACACATGCACTAATAACATGATATAGCTCGGAGGCACAGTGCCTGCCTGGCAATTGTGAGGTCATGAGTTCAATTCCCTGTCCCCCCATCCATAAAATTATAAGGTTTAAAATAAATAAGTAAACAAATACACAATAAAAGGAAAAAACCAAGACCAAATGTATTTTCTGAATCATTCTGAATTTATGAAAGAGCAAGTAAATACTTGTGGGCTGGTTGATATGTTTATATTTTACCTAAATAAAAATTTTTAAAAAGTGATGGAAAACTAATCTGAAAAACAACAGTATATTTCAGAGACTTTTATTTTGTGGCCTGTGACAGAAAGAACTCAGTTTTGCAACCAGATTTTAGGCTCAAGCCTAAAGCTGCTGTTCCTACATTCCCTGACTGTGCGGCTTTACCTAGATAAAGATCCACTCCTCTGGGAAGGTCCCACCAGTTTTCTTTCAACATAGAGTCACAGACATGAAAAAGATGCCCAGGACAATCTCCTCAGTTTACAGCACCCATCAGTGACAACTCCTTGCTTGAGCAGGTCTCTTTGCTTTTGTTTGCATTTGCTTGTTTAGTGCAGGTACATCATCAATTAAACTTTAACTAAAAATGTACTTCAGCTCCACCAGTATTCTGGAGAGACAGAAAAGGCAAACAGCTAAATAAGCAAAGGGACATCTACAGCTCCTTTATTTATTTTCTCACAGAGGGCAAAAAAATTTATGATTCAAACATAAGGAGAAATTAAATATGCCTCTGTGTTCTTTATGGCCACGCTACGTTTTATCAGAGGACTGGATTCACCAGTGTCCCCACCTGCAGCTGTCCAGCCTCAGAAGGGTCCAACCAGGGCTCTGCATAATGTACCAATCCTGTCTGCTCACACCGTGCCAGGAAACGATGACCCAGCTGAGCAACAGCGTGTTACCAATTGTGACTGCAGAAAGATCTTTTCCTCCTGCAGGGAGCGGGCACGATTTGTTACTTTCAATTGCTCTTTCCAGGCAAGAACCTTTTGTGTTTTTGGTAAATTAAA